TGTGGCGGCTGGTTTTAGTGAACAGTGCTCTGTAACGGCGGCCTGAAGGTAAAACTCTGAACAGTTTATGTGCAGGGTGTATGGGGTCTGCAGAGATTTTGGCAGCTCTTTTCTTGACCCTAGACCTAAGGGCAAAATTGAAAATGTGTGTAAAATTTAAATGCATTTTGTGTTTTGAAGGCCAGTAGCAACTGAGTGCTGCTAATCTGCTGTGCTTCATTAATTGATTATCATCAGAGTGACTACCTCTGTAACAGCAGGGGCCCTGGCAGTTTGCTGGTCTGGAGCATACAGGCGTATGTAAGCACAGCGCCAGGTCGGAAAGACATCAGCAATGACCCTAGAGAGACAGGTTAGAAGCTCATATCCAGGCAATTTAAAGTTTATTCTACTGTGAGAAAATGTATTTAACAGTGCAGGGTGATATTATACCATCTACGATATTACCAGTGTGAATTTTTGCACATTTTCTTCACTATTTCGACGTGATGAAATCATATCGCATTTGCAGGATTCAAGGAGCACATAATTCCTGGCCACACACTCTAGTCGGTAACAGTAATTTATCATTTGGCTGCTTTTACAACTCAGAAAAATAACTATAATAAAAGTAACATCCATTGTCATACAGACCGTAATCCATATAGCAGTGCACAAAGTGAAAATTCATTATTTCATGCCTGGTGTGAGCAGATATTTTACATTTTTTATTATTTCAATTGACCTTGATGGCACATACTTTGCAGGCATCTCTTTTGGAAGCACTATCCTGCTGCGTTAACACAGTGACGACCAGCACACCTAGTGGCAGGACAACCAATTACTCTTATTCAGAACATTTTAATAAAATTTTATTATGATGGAAAAAGTTAAAGTTAAAAACGCTGGACTGGAGTTGATGATGACAGTAGACCTCATAAATGGATGGCAAATGTGAGCGAAACAAAAAATTATACAGAAAGCAAATGTGAGCGAAACAAAAAATTATACAGAAAGGAAAATGTCAGATGTATATGTAAATATACAGAAAACTACTGCAGTCATTTAATTTGTAAGAAAATGGAAAAATTCTGATCTTATGTGATGGCAAATATTTGAGAATGACAAAAATGCTCTATACAACCAACAATGTTAGCCTAAGATAGCAGCTTCAAATATTGGCCGTTTCTGGTCATGAATTTGAAATATTGGTAGAAACTTATTGGCCGACCAGCATTATGATGATTAGAAATATGTGGACGATGGACATGGTCAGCAACAATAAATGGTAAATGGACTGGACTTATATAGCGCTTTTCCAGTCATGCAGACCACTCAAAGTGCTTTACACTAGAGCCACATTCACCCAATCGCACTTACTAACGCTCACACATTCATACACCGATACGCAGATCAGGAGGCACCTTGAGGTTAAGTGCCTTGCCCAGGGGCACATCAACATATGGCAGGAGGAAGCTGGAATTGAACCCACAACCTTCTGATTGCAAGACAACTACTCTTCCTACTGAGCCAGAGTCGCCACTACTCAGGTAGGCTGTGGCGTTGACACGATGCTCAATTGGTACTAAGGGGCCCAAAGTGTGCCAAGAAAATATCCCCCACACCATTACACCACCACCACCACCAACCTGAACTGTTGATACAAGGCAGGATGGATCCATGCTTTCATGTTGTTGACGCCAAATTCTGACCCTACCATCTGAATGTCGCAGCAGAAATAGAGACTCATCAGACCAGGCAACGTTTTTCCAATCTTCTATTGTCCAATTTTGGTGAGCCTGTGCGAATTGTAGCCTCAGTTTCCTGTTCTTAGCTGACAGGAGTGGCACCCGGTGTGGTCTTCTGCTGCTGTAGCCCATCCGCCTCAAGGTTCGACGTGTTGTGCGTTCAGAGATTCTCTTCTGCATGCCTTGGTTGTAACGAGTAGGTATTTGAGTTTCTATCAGCTCAAACCAGTCTGGCCATTCTCCTCTGACCTCTGGCATCAACAAGGCATTTACGCCCACAGGACTGCCGCTCACTGAATATTTTCTCTTTTTCGGACCATTCTCTGTAAACCCTGGAGACGGTAGAGCGTGAAAATCCCAGTAGATCAGCAGTTTCTGAAATACTCAGACCAGGCCGTCTGGCACCAACAACCATGCCACGTTCAAAGTCACTTAAATCACCTTTCTTCCCCATTCTGATGCTCAGTTTGAACTGCAGCAGATCGTCTTGACCATGTCTACATGCCTAAATGCATTGAGTTGCTGCCATGTGAATGGCTGATTAGAAATTTGCGTTAACAAGCAGTTGGACAGGTGTACCTAATAAAGTGGCCGGTGAGTGTATGTCAATGATAATAACTTTTGTCTAACGTAATATTTGTGTGACACTTGCTAAACTGAAAACTCGGAAAGGATCGAATAATAAACCAAAAATTTTTTTCTGTTCTGCTGGATGTAACACAGAGGGTTCATTAGGGAAGAATGTTCCACACATTTTGGTAGTTTCACTTTACGCTACAATTCTTAAGCTACAGAATAAAAATTCATATTGTATTAGACGGCAAATGTTGACACTATTATTTCACATGAGTAAGCTCCAGAGCTCCAGCTAAAGTCTTGTGGTCTTCTGTGATATTATTCGTGTGCTCCCCTCAGCTCATTGGAGAATTCACCTTGATGAGGGATGAATCTTACTGCCAGCTCCTCAAACAGCTTACTGCCAACACCAGCTCCAAACCGTAAGTCAGCTGGCTGCACACAAACCCTCAGTGCCCCGCTCTTTGGTCTTTACTTCAGTGATCCTGAGTAGCTCTGTGTTCACTTGTGCTCTGCAGAGATAGTTGCCAACGAGGTTGGAGGCTGCTGTACATTCTGACTGCCTACCATCGCTGCTCTGAAGTCCTCAAGCCTTTCCTGCTAAAATACCTGCAGCAGGCTTCTCGCAGTGCAGGAGCACAGTATCAAGGTAACAACCACACACACACTAATACCAAGTAGGAATATGCTGTAAATGTTGCAATCAGTATGAAATATGTATTTTTTTAGGCATAGCTAAAGCATGTGAGCAGAATCTGAAGAAGACACTTCTGTACGGTGGTCGGATTGTTCCACCCAACGGCATGGAGCTGAAAGCTATGATGGTTGGTGCCTCCATTAATTTATCAGCTAATAAGCAAAAAGCTGTGAAATCCTTTTTAGAAAAAAGATGCATACAGAGTGAAAACAGTTCAGGCTGTTTTAGACTTTGTAATTATTGCCCATACTGTAGATATGGGCATGTTTAAGCCACTAGCTTATTTATTTATTTAATTATTTATTTATTAATTCATTATTTTTACCAGGACTGCAAATAATTGTGCAGCCTACTGTACATATAACAACATATTATCAATAATTACAGTTTTTAGCCAGTTTTAGCCATTTATCCAAAATTCATGGATTTTAAACCTTGAAAACCCCACATTAAAATTCAAGCATGTTTAAGTATTTCCAGGACAGACATAAACTCAGTGAGGCATGGCAGTGGGAGTATTATGTTTGGGGTGGGGGGGTTCTTTACTGCTTCTGTTATTGTGCACCTTCCAGATTTAAATTAAACTATGAATTCTGCTGTATCAGAATTTGTGTTAAATTGGAAATTAAACGTTTAGCTGAGACTTTCAGTGCTCACTGTAAATCCATGAAGGAATGGCATAGAAATAATAAATATAGGCTTATAAAATGGCCCAGATTTGATTGATTAGAATGACTGTCAGGGATAGAAAACAGATTGTGCATTTTAAGATGTTCACTGTAGGAGGGAAATTTGCATCAAATGTTGTATTGCATGAAATTATACAACACCCACTAAAGGGGAAGATACTAGACAGTAAGCCCATATGAGAAATTTTCATTTTTCTTTGAAGAAAATCACATTGATTTTTTATTTCTATGACCCATGGACATTTTCCTGCATATACTGCACATGTATAATCTTGATAAGTTGGTTTAGAGGGATCTTAGGATCAAATATTCTCTTACTGTTTTGAATAAACATACAGTTAGATTTTCTTTAGTCTATTGGACAATTAATAGAAGATTTACTTTTGCTGGTTGCTGTTTTTTGTTTTTAGTTTTTTGCTTATTGTCTGTAAACCCAATTAAAATACCAATTATTGAGCATTTTTGGTGGATGATGTGTTTTTTTAATGGAAAATATTCCAAGGAATATTAGCAAACAAATTGACAGTTTCTTAGGGCATCAAAAACTGACTCTTCATTTTAATTTTACCTAAATGTAGGCTTAGAAACTGTTTGGAAAAGTTTTATTAGCAAACCAAAAGAACGTGAAAATGACTGGAGAGAAGGACAAAGAAAGGTGTGTTAATTGTTAAGATAGGAACATTTAATTTACACAAAGCATTAGACCCTTGTACAGCCACTTTTAATCTATAGTGTTAGGATTATAGAGTTCTAAAAAGTGATTAATTTTTAGCATATTACTTATACCAGGTGAATGTTTGACTGTGTTTTCCCAGGCGGGACGCAGCTCAAAACGTCAGCTGTTTCTCTTCCCTGGAGGCATTGAACGCCATGTGAAAATCAAAACTTGTACTGTAAGTACTCAGCAGTTGGTGATCAGTGGGGCGCATAAGTGTGAGGAGGCTGTGATTGGCTGATGTATCTGTGTTGGCTCTGTTGTTTTTCAGGTTTCCCTGGAGGTAATCGAGGAGTTGTGCTATGAGATGGGATTGCACACACTGGAGGCCATGGAAGAATATGCCATATTTTTAGTCACCAACAGAGGTGGGCAAAGTCACATATAATAAACACATATACTTAAGCTCAAAATTATTCATACACCTGGGCAAATTTTGATTTAAAATGATTTTCATTCAACCTAGATGTTTCTGATAGGAAATAGGACAGTCATCTATAAACATATAATACAACAATGTAAAAAGAGTAAAAACAATATTTAACCTTTTTATTTACATGTCATTAAAAATGTCCTGTGTAAAATTATTTTTACCCTTCTCAATAACCAATTGAAATATCTTTAATGGCATTACAGCAATCAAAACCCTCCTATAACTGCTGACCAGCTGTTTGCATGTTTCCACTGGTATTTTGAAAATTTATTTCTGGGAATGAGCTCCAAGTCTTTGAGGTTGAAAGACCTTCTTGCATCCCCCTAATCTTTGGCTCCCTCCTTAGAGTCTCTGTCAGATTCAAGGATTCACGATTCTGGCTGGGCCGCTTCAAAACATTATTATTACTGCCAGTCAGAGGAAACATGTTAGTAACTGTGTTTTTGTGTATAGAGAACGATTTTTAATCCTTATGATTGAAGCCGTGTATCAAAATCTTCTGTAAATTCTGACTCTTTGGAAGCAAAGAACAAAGACATTTTACTATTATAACTTTTGGTCATTATTGCATATATCACAGCACAGGTGATATATGCAATCATGTATGTACTATACATGCAATAATGTATAATGTATTAATGTAATTTTACATGCAATACTCTTTTAACAGAATTTCACCTCCTTTTTAATAGAGTATTTAAAGACACACACAAAACAAAAATACTTGTTCCTCATTTTCATTTAGCTTGTCTGTATTATGTTCTTCGCCTGTTTGGTCTAAGCTTTTAATCTTTTATTTCCAAAGCAAACTATAAGCTTGTTGCATTGTTGAGTATCTCCATGTGACAACAGATGGATGATACTGTTTTTTGGGACATTTTAGAGTATGTCTGTTGGTGTTTTTACTGGTTTTAGGCTGTAACTAAATTGAGAAATCCCTCCTGAAGTGAATATCCATAAATATTAGAAGAAACAAACTGATTTCTGTGTAACTATGTATGCTCAGGTCAGAATGTGCGTCCCCTGAACAAGAACGAGTATATCCTGGATGTAGCCACTGAGGCCGAGTCAGTCGACTCCGGCTACAGTGTCTGGTTCCGGCGAGTTGTCTGGACTCAGCCACTCAGGTTTGAGAACGAGCTCTGTGTCGCCATGCAGTATAACCAGGTACTGACAAGAATTTTTCTCTCATTGGAAACACTTTGTTTTTTTATTTGTTTGTGTGTATAACTCAGCTTTTTTGAATAATTTTCAGATCCTTCCGGACTATCGTAAAGGTCTACTCAATGTTCTCTCACATGGAAAAGTGAGCAATCAACAGTTCCACCAAATCTCCAAGCTGGCTGCTTTGCAGCATAGAGCCAAGGACATCATCTACACTCCCAGCATGTGAGAAAGCTTGAGCAACAAGACAGTTATTTAAGCTTATTCAGTTAGTTTGTATATTTTAGTTAGTTCAATTAGTTCGTTCAGCTTTTTATGGTTGCTGAGTTTATGAGTTTAGGCATTTATGCAATAAGGGAATTAAGCAACAAGACAAAATATGTCGGGAAAAAGCTGTAAGGGAACATTTTTAGGACAAAATATACACCAGTGCATCCTTTTACATTAAAGCGCAGAGTGCCTTGCTAAAGTATTGATATCCAGTCAGTTTTTTTCACATTTTTTCAGTTATAACCACAAAC